CATTGTTTGTGTTGTATACCTATTGCTTCGCTTGGCGAATCGTGCAGACCCCTGTAAACGGTGCGTGGTCGCCCTAATCCTTCGTAGGAACAAAATGGCGTCTGGTGCATTGACCTATAATTCTTAGTGCACGAAAACCTTTACAACGCTCATAAAAACGTAAAGAAAAAGTCCAACATCTTAATAATAAATAATAATAATAATCGAATATTTACCTAGGAAAACCCTTCAGTACAAAGTACTGTTATCAATAGTCTCCAAATGTAGTCTCCACCTCAAATGTAGTCTCCACCTCAGTAAATATATATCTTTATTTAAGTGTCAAATGTACTTAGCACTGTTTTGCTAATTAGGGACACTGTAAATAATTAACCAAGTATTGCAAATAGAACATAAACTACAAAGAATCCCAACTGGTGGGAGGCTGACCAGTTGTCTATTTACACAATGCAGTCGAAGAGTTGCACTCGGCGCTACCGATAACAAAAGCAGCGGTAGGTTGGCTGGCCACGCCACCTCCACTGTGTTTTTTCCTACGTGGGATTCTCGTACTCCGGTCTTTTCAAACTCACCCCTTGCGGCAAGTTGTTCATACGGAACTGAAGTAGAGCCTGTGTCAAGGCATTAGACACCTGTAAAGCCATTGAAGCATCTTCTTCACTGCTCACAAGTTTCCCCTGAAAAATGCAAGACAAAAATCAATCAATCAACTTATAACTTGCAAGAGAAAAAAACAAATGAGACCATGGATGAGTAAATCAATCTATGAATTACTGATTTAGAGAAGTTTTCCATTGAGTGTCGTAAAACCAAAACCAAAGTAATCACTCTAGCCAATCACAAAGGACACAGACAATCCAATGACCAATCACAACTCGTAGTAAATACATGTACATGTAGCTGACGCGAAGCGCGGGAAAACGAGTGTGCCAGTGAGTTACAATTGGTTTTGGTTTTCTTCTGATTCGATGAAAAAGTGGTGCGAGTCTTTTGAGCCAGTCGCGTAGCGTAGTAAATGCAAAACCAATTACTTTCCGACACTCAAAAGAAAACCGCTCATCATTGAAAAACAAAATAACAAACGCAAAAAGGCAAAGCATATTCACGCGAAAAAAAAAAAACCCACACCAACCGCCCGAGGGGGGAGTACTTAACTGTTTATTCATCTTTACTGTACACTTGGACAACAATCCATTGGGTTCATAATAATTAACAAAGTACACAGTGTTCACTTGCCCACCAGCGAGAACAGTAGCCGTAGTACCCGTAATTTCTGTATTGAATGTAAGAAACAAAAAACATTTTCCGTCTGTCGAGAAATGCCATGGGAACACGAGTCGTAGGCGAGTGTTTCTGTAGCTTTTCGAGTGCTCTTAATTTTTCATGAGTGTTTCTTTACCTCAATAGAAACACGAAGGAAATGTTTCCTAATTCTCTTAGAAAATGCTTCGAGAAAAAACGATGATAACCACTCGTTTATTTCGATCATCAAAATGCATATTCTCTTTGCTTACGCAATCATTACGTCAACAGCTCGTTCTAGTTCTGAGTTTGTATCAGCATGACTTTTAGTGCGTCCTCTCTTACAAGGCGTTTTTAATCAGTACTGCTCAAAATAGTCACATCTTCTCACCAGATCTGCAATAGCTCCTTGAAGAAAACTCACACTTGATCCTCCTCCACCACCACCACCACCACCACCGCCGCCGCTGGTCATGACAGTGCTGCTGCCGGTACTGCTGCCGCCGCCACCACCGCTCATGCTGCCACTAGCACCAGCCATGTCTCCACTGCTAACACTTGGAATTTGATCATATGGCTGGAAGCCCGGATCATTTGGGATTTGACTGGAATACGAGTCATTGTACTGGCAAGAGAAAACATTAACATTGGCAGATTACATATAAAGGGCAAGGCTTTGTACACTGGTGTCTATGCTTTCTGGTCTCTGGTGCATCTCTGGATGAAAACACACGAAGAGAGAATGGTAATTGAAATTAGAAGGAAGAAGTGAAAATGGATCCGCCACACTCTAAGAAAACCGCATGAAAGTGGGGCCAGGCAGGTCCTATTGCAGAACCAGCAAGGGTCGCAATGCCACAAATTGGAACTCAAAGCCCACGATCGAGACAAGTGGAAGGGAACTGGGGATGCCTCGTGCTGCATAGAGGAGTGAAGGGGATAGGAGAGTTCCGCCTGCCTGGCTATCTAGCTGTCTCTTTGTTCAGTCAGTCAGTTGACCAGATGCTTGGTCAGTTGGTCCGTTCGTCTCTCTAACTTTCTGACCTGGCACTTTCTCTGTCTAATCTGTATGCAAAAGATTAAAGGGTTTATTTTGCAACCTAATCTGATACACATCATTCTACCGAGAGAGATTCAATAGAGTGAATTGACTGATCAAGATGAAAATGATCATAGCATTCACTCATCAATATTAATCTTTACCATAACTGCAGAAACTCTCGCCAATTCATTGGGTAAGTTTCAATGTCAATAATTGGACAGACACACGAATTTGTAATTAATGCGATAATTTATTGTAAAAAACAAATTGATGTTAGTTTTTTGTGGGTCTGTCTTGTTATTGACGATGAAGTTCGTCATAACATTGTCAAAGTAGTGTGCGGATCCACTCGGGTATCGCCTTGTGGATCCACAGTTCCTTTAACAATGTTATGATCAATAACAAGACAGACACAACAAAAAGGTATAAGGTAATAATAATAATAATAATAATAATAATAATAATAATAATAATAATAATAATAATAATAATAGTAAAATATTTATATAGCGCCAATCCACTATTTGTCCATGGCGCTTTACATTAAATAAAAAAAATATTTAAAAAACTAAAAAAGGGGAGGGGAAAAAAAAATCATCTAAAAATTAAAAGAGTTAAAAAGCTTGTTTAAAAAGATGTTTTTAAATGCCGTTTAAAAATGTCAGTCGAACCATTGGATCTTAGTTCAAGTGGGATCGAGTTCCATAGTCTCGGTGCCGCCACAGCAAATACTTTCTCTCCATATGTTTTCAGTCTAGCTTTCGGGATCGCCAGAAGGTGTTGAGAGGACGATCTTAATTTCAGTTGAGGGGTGTTGTACTTAAGTAATTCACTGATGTAGTAAGGCGCTGTTCCATTGAGAGCTTTGTTGCTTAGTAGGAGAATTTTAAAAATTATACGGTAGCAAACAGGTAACCAGTGGAGCTGTTTTAGGACAGGAGTGATATGTATTGTAGCGACACATGTATTGTAGCGACACATAAGGATAATGATCACCTCATAATTTGAGCCACTGTAACTACCACCATAATAGTCATCATAATAATTATCATGATAGTTGCCGTACTGTGTTGACCTTGCTGGAGATCTGGGCTTGAATGCATCAGGAGGTAGCATCTTATCTCTACATGAACATAGCCACAAGAGTTAGAAGAAGACATGACATAAGAGGCCAATTACATATGTACATGTATAGGTGGGTGCAATGACAAAAGATGTCATGTCAAACAGTGACACAGCGACATCACAAGGCCACAATGTCCAATCAAACTTTATCTATCCTTACCAACACCTCCAAAATATTGATACAACTATATAACAGATAGTGTTTGGTGACAAGATGATACCATTAAGTGTGCCGATATTTAAAGGGAGAGGAACTGTGAGAGTCGAGTGTCTTGCCCAAGATCACTGTGCAATGTCCCCAGCCAGGGATTGAACCCGCTCAATCCACAGACAAGTGCACTAACCATGAGGACACTGTTCTCATGGTCCTACAGTAATACTTGGTAAACTTTATTTTCCAGTGTGGTCACAAACCATGAGAGAAGCATAAACCAATATTTTATGGTGTTCAACATCTATACTTACCCTCCGCTTTGACCTCCACTGTTCCACTGTGAACTGTCATCAAAACTGCCATAAGAACCAGTGGGGAAGGTCTGGTTTGGAGCACTTTTGAAAGATGAGTAGTTCTGATTCCAGGATTGGTTTTGATGACTGGCTGAAGATCCTCTTCCTCTGCCTCTTCCACCTCGGCTGGACCCTCGCTGCTGCTGTTGATTATGAGGTACTCCTTGCTGCCTTCCTCTGCCACGAGTACCTCCTTGGCTTCCTCCACCATATGAGCTTCCCTGTTCACCTGCACCATACAAGGCTCCCTGTCCACCATATGTACTTCCACGTCCACCACGCCCACCACGCCCACCACGCCCAGCCCCCTGTCCTCTTCCTCTCTGACTTTGCCATTGCTGTCCTAAAATGTTCAAGCCCGAAACGAAATGTTTACACCTTTTGCTGTTCATTTACAGAAAATATCCATTCATTCGAGTCCAGACTTGTTTCATTATGGTCAATATACTCTCATTAACACCAATATGACCTTCATTTGCACGTAAGGAACGTTCAAGGATGACACTTGCATATGTATTAACATTCAAATTCATCAAAAGACAAACAATACCTTCCTTTGACATTCATTGGCTGTAAATGTACTTTTATTTTTGTCGAAAAAAAATTTGTTGTCACGAAACGACAATCATGTACACTTTTGGACAATCCTTTTTCAACAAGAGACTTTCAATGACACAGTTTGCATGAGCACTCACAATCAATTGCATTATTATACAACCATATCCATGAAGGTGACAATCTTAAGTGCGGTGAGACAAACATTACAGCCATAATAACATTTATTTTTGGAAGAGAGAATATCAAATTTGCTGAACAATTTATCCCCCAAATGCCTTACTATTGAGACATCGTGGCAAATATGTTTGCATGAAACGATACAATCGTCCACATTTAGGCCCTGATTATCCTTTCGCTGTGTTCAAATGGSATTCTATTTCTTCATSGCATTTGTGGGGAAATCTAACTGTCACTTTATCACATGCACATGTATACTGCAGTTCGCCCTTTGARTTGTACACAAAAGGYTCGTAAGAGGATGGATTTATATCTGTAAGGGGAGGATTGTGAAAATACGATTTAAAAAAGGTACATACGGTCGCTAGTTCTATAATCAAATTTTCGAGGAAAATTGGGCGCTAATGAGCTATTGTTTTCTCTTAACGTTCGGTGAAAACACGGTAATGTCTGTCTCAACGTACTAAAGATTGTCACCTTCACAGATATGGTTGTATAATAATGCAATTGATTGTGAGTGCTCATGCAAATTGTGTTACTGAAAGTCTTTTGTTGAAAAAGGAATGTCCAAAAGTGTAAATGATTGTCGTTTCATGACAACGAATTTTATTTCGACAAAAATGAAAATACATTTACAGCCTATGAATGTCAAGAGAAGATATTGTTTATCTTTTGATGATTTTGAATGTTAATACATATGCAAATGTTATTCTTGAACGTTCCTCACGCGCAAATGAAGGCAATATTGGTGTTAATGAGAGTATATTAACCATACTGAAACAAATTTGAACACAAATGAATGGATATTTTCTGTAAATGAACAGCAAAAGGTGTAGTAAACCAGCCACTATAAATTTTTTGACACATTAGCGAACCTTCAGCCTCATATTTAATATTTAATTTATCATTTTCTTTGCCTTTTTAATTCATAATGGATTATCGTCTTGCAATAAGTTTTTTTTGACCTTAGTGAGTGACTATCTTTAACTTCGACAATTACTGTTTAGAACATGGTCCACAATTTAACGTTTCACTTTCTACAAGTCAAACAAACCTACATGTACATTTGTGTATATGTGTATGCATAAAATGTTCCCAAGTGATTGACTGGGAGATAAGTATCTTATCCAGCAACAATGACCAGGCAAGTAAATAACAGAATGATTAATTTATTTTCACAGAGTGCATCCTTCAGTTTTATGAGTAAACTGTTATCAACAGGATCAAATGCTCACAATACAGAGGAAGAGTGATTTTTCAAGTCCTCGATTTTGTGAGCCTATTAATTAAATTTACCCTTGAATTTTTTTAACCGATATCAGTTGTCTGTTCCCCTGGGTGTCTGGAACAATTGGGATTCCACCGTAACTGGTAAATGCCACTCACCAGCTTGACAATGAACTGATGTCAATAAAGCAAAAACACATACTGACCACCCTTAAGAATTAAACGTGCTAACCAACCTCCTCTTGCTGTGTGTTGCATTGTTGACTGGCCAGATGCTTGGTTGTTGATGACATTGAATGGGCTCTTTTCCACTCTAGTTTTCACCTGCTGTCGACCAACCCTCATTTCTAGTTTACGTGCCTCTTCAAGCAGCTTGCTGGACAATTCTGATCTCTTTTTGACATCGCCACGGACACTGTGAGCAATATCTGGGACCTTCTCTTTCTGTTAGTGAGATAACAGTTGTTTCATTGCTGTTAGAGAGTTAGTGTCACTACTCTTGGAAAAATCAGGCTGTGACAGTTAATTATCACATGATTTAAAGATTATTTTTCATCACTGATTAGCTGTCACTACTCATGACTCACTAATGCTGCATGTAAGCTGTGAGCTGTCTTTACTGTAGTTTATGGCAGAGGAAAAAACAATATTTGTTTGGGTTTTGGACTTTAGAGTGTACAATCTCATGTTACTAAAAGAGCACAGTAAGTTGAGTACTCTGAGCATGTAGTATCACTTTGCTTCTCAAAGACATTTATTTCGGCAAGTTTAAAGATCATGACCATAACAATATTCAATCTTGATAAGCATTACATTTTACAGTCGTTTTTCCCTATCGTCTCTTACTTTCAGTTTCAATTGACAAAATATATCAAACACTCAAGACAGTCTTTGACTACATTTACAAACACCTCAAGGTTAGTCAAAACTACTCCACTACATGCAGTATTTTCAATTCTCTTCTTGGCATATTTGGAAATGTGGTCAAAGATGGGGCACTTTCTATTCAACAAAAGTTTCCAGAAAATCCATAAATTGTTGAATTTCGAACAAGTAACCATTCAACCCAAAATTCTGGAAAGTGACAGTCTAAGAGAAAAATGAAATGGAAAAGAAATTCATGGTGCGAAATTTCTGAAAATGCAGTTGTCCTCTTCTGAAGAAATTCTGGAAAATGCTGTTCTCTTTATCACTAGAAATTTGCCAAAATTCAAACCAGAATTTTTCATCTAATGGATATTGCCCATGGTCTGATGTGTTTATTTTATATATTTTATATATTTTACATGACACACTTTTGTCAATGAAAGTGTGGTACAATTTGTTAGTGAAATGGTTTGCAAGAATCATTTTAATTTCCAACAAACAGCATGTCCCATCGTATACAGCCATTAAGTTATGGCTATGAATTGGGAATTAGAGTACACTGGCCAAAAAATCTTGACAAGAGCATCCATGGTTTTGATGAATGATGCAAGAACAAACATGTTGTCAGTAATTGCAAACAATTTGCAGTCCAAGTAAACACTGCAGAAAGCAAATGCAAGCAAAAGGATCAAATTTATATTAATTATTGATCCTTTCCGCTTGTGATTCTTTTTTGCATAAATTAAAATCAATGCACTCTTGCTTGCATCTCTGCTTGCATCACACACAAAAATCACACTACAGTACATAATGTATTTCCTTACTCTCGATTTAGCCTGTCTATGAAAAAAGGAAAGGATCATATATTCAGTTTGACATTAAAGCAAGCTGGTTGCCATCTATACATGTACATACTTGGATTGGATTATACAATTTTTTCATAATTATCATTCATTTGCCAAAATTTATACTAGGGACAAATTATCCATGTGAGATGAATTAGCTGTCTGAGGCAGGCAATTCGTCTTTCTGAGACCGATAAATCGTCTAGGTATAAATCTGGTGTTTAGACGAATTATGTGCTCAAATTCTTCTTTTGCAAATTCATATGTCAGCATGTCAGCATGTCTGTAAGACGTGCTATCAGACGAATCAGTTCACGACAAATTTGGTCATATAATTCGTTTAACCACCAGATGTATACCTTGACGATTTATCCATCTCAGATGAAGAAATCATCTCAGATGAAAAAATCCTTTCATAATATAATTTGGCATGTGATAATTGGTCTCTAGTATAAATTCAGCCATTAAGAGATTAAGCTCTCATTAAAGTGTATGGGCCTGCCGTACATGTATACAGCATTGATGTAGGTCATTATCAAACAATCTACCATCAAAATCTTTTCTTTTGAGCAAACAAGGAACAGTTGCATGTTACCAGATACAACATTCTTTTAGCAATCTAAGGAGGATGACCTATAAAGCACAAGGAATGACAACATCTGCAGGGATTTAGTTTTCCACTCATGATAATTCAGTACAAATTTAGATTTTGTTTCAACAATTTCAACAGAAGAAGTAAATAATCCGTAAGTTTCAGCTGTTTTCTTACAGTGCTACTCACCTTACTGTTGCCACCTACATATATAGGAAAGTTTTTGATTAGTTGTTGACATCTTTTTGACAACTTCTCATGGCTTCTGTTTCAAATGGCCAATCAAACTGTGACAACTTGCCACCAGCTTCAAATTGAAATTCCCAGGAGAGTGAATGGTGAATTTGACAATTTAACATCACTGTCTTTGACAGTTCCCATGTTTTGATTAGCCAGTTGAAAAGAAAGCCAGCAAAAAAATGTATCAAAATGTTGTCAAAAAGATGTCAAAATTTCACCACAAACTTTCTCAAGTCACGTGGCAATGGTATGATAAATAGCACTGTAAAGCTTTACCCAAACTCTGGTCAACTCTGGATCTTGAGAGTTTGGCCATGCAGGGACAGCTGATTTACGATCAATAAAATCCAAATTCTGAAAAGATCACTTTTGATCTTGTGTGAGATTATTGCACAGGACAGTTTTCATCACATCACAAAAAAGAACACTGTCTCAAATAGAATGTTCTCAAGGAGACTGGCAACAGTTTCCAGCACTTTTCTAAGTTATTCTTTGAAAGATGAATACTACCACTGTTTAACAAGTGATGCTACATGTACAATAATGGTATCACACAAATGCTTAATCATTGGTAAAACAAGTTGCGGTCATCGTTTTTATATAGCAGGTTACCATAGGGACAATACAATCTGTTAAAAACACACTTAATTTTAGCTTTAAGTACAGTTCATACTGTTGCTATTATAATATATTGTTCCCCAGGAATTGACACCAAGATGCTCTCCAATGATTGGGCAGTTTTTTGATACCATGATTGTGGCATCAATTGATGTAGAGTGGTTATAATGACCCATCAAAATCTACCTCTTGGAAATTGCTGGAAACTGTTTTGAGCCTCCTTGAAATGCTTAATTACATTTCACACCACTGCCCTGAAATTTGACAGACAAATTAAACTTTCACGACAGCTACATGTAGAATTCTTTGTCACCCCTGAGATTCAAAAATAACTTTAGTCCCAACAACTGGAGCAACATGAATTTCTTTGAGCAGCTCTTTATTTAAAGAGCTATAACTAGAGCTGAAATTGTTTTAAGACCTAACCCCAAGTGATGGTCACTTAATTGCTGCTGACTTGAATGGTTGTGATAATTTTGACATACAACAAAACAAACCACTCCATCATGATTTTGTTCATTTCTTATCACTACTTGTCTCTCTGACAAAGTAATGATTTGTGTGAAAACTTAAATAGACACAACCATCACTTTTAAGAGCCAGACAGTTACTTAAAGACAACTTTCATGTTGATCAACACATTGGAACCAAAGCAATTCCATTTTGAATTTCAGCGGTCCATATCTTTTACTCACCAAGACTTTAAAGCGATGTTTGCTTCCAACAAGATGCGGGAACTTCAAGTTGTGATCAAATTTGGAGTCACATAGCTCACAATGGTACCTTGGACTCTGTCCTATAACCTGGATTTCTGTAACATACTCCAGGCCTACAGTAACAGAACAAGTGACGGCACAAACATGCCAGAAGGTGAAAATCAACCACACAAAAGTTGCATATTTTCACCCAGTAATGATGCGACACAATTGTATCGTGCATTCCATTGCTACAGCTGTGTCTACAGCGCTCCAAGCTCAAGTTTTTCAGAAATCGCCTTTTGGCAACCTTCTTCTGAATAATGGTTGCCCACTAAGACAAATTTGGTCGCCAAAATCTGAACTTTTTCATAGAATGACATTTTATGTCAATTAACATGAAGTTAATATTGCCGACCACAATGAGCCCACACTGGAAGCATTCAAAGAACTTTCCGATGCTATTAGATTTCATTTGTACCTTTTTTTTGTTGAATAGTCAACATCTGTTCAGGAAAGTGAATAAAAGAAAAAAAGAAACAGGTAAGGAAGACAAACATGCTTTAAATTGTGGTTGAATTTGTTTGGCTTACTGATTATACAACAAATTAGCCTTTGGCTTACTGATTATACCACAAATTAGCCTTTTGTACTGCAATCAATGCACTAGTCATCAAATTGGCGACGTATATGTACTTGTAACATTTTGTTGCCAAATGATTTATTTACTCGCCATGGTGACCAAAATGGTTGCAGCTTGGAGTGCTGATCTACATGTATTGAGTCAGTGGAAGACATCAGACTTGAAAATGACATTCCAAATGTGACTCCTCCGTTTATTTTAAAGCATCTATTCAATAAATACAATGAAAGGCAAATTACTCCCCAATTTTGAGATAAAATTTTATCGCAAGTCCAATAAGAAATTTGAAGGCTACTAGCAAGTTCACAACCTAGTTGCCTGGCAAGAAGTTGCAATTTGTCTTTCACTGTCAGTATTGTCACATTGTTTACTCAAATCATGAGTGGCAAAGAAATTTTGAAATAATTTCACTTACATTTTGTTAATGAAAATTCACTTATTATAAGAAATCCCCTACACCTTAAGGTATGCACCCCCAACTGTTCCCCTGTAACCCACGAGTTGACAGATGCTGTGCTGGTCTGTGATATTACATATATGACTTTTTATTTGGGTAAACGCAAGTGCAAACACAACAATTCCTATGTTATCAAGGCCATGTTTTTGCTGCAACAGTCTGGTCACACAGATCAGTGCCTCAGACTTTCATTTTCTGTTATGTAAAATGCTGATAACGAATGTTTGCAAAATATTTTCGGAAAAACCAGTCCGAAAAAAGCCTGCTTTTAGAAATATGACTGATATACTTTAATTTGTACAATGTATCTTGAACTACATGTTCCAGCACATATATTTCTTATCATGACAGCCTCACAGTATAATACTAGTATTGTACATGCACATGTATGTATATGACACACAATTGTAACATTTTCTCTTTTCATGTCCTGGTTTTTCAAAAGGTGGTTAATATCATTGCCATTGGTCAGATCATAAATCACATCCAGGGAATAAGTGTTAGCAAAATGAACTTATTTTACGATAACACTTATCCAGTAGATATCAGGTGAACTATCAAATGGCTAACATTATCCATCCCTTGGACAACCAGGCCTCAGATGGTTTGATTGTTAGACCTCCACTGATGAAGGACTAAAATTAATGTCAGCTATAATCTGACCTCATTGACTTCCAAATTGCCCATTAGTCTCTGTAGAAACTATTGTGCCACATTAATGGCAGGCAAGTGAAATACTTAGCTATTTATCAACAGGAAGTCGAATGTGGTAAATTAACTGCTGTCATAATTTACCACAATTATCTCCAAGTTGATATTAAATAGCTAAGTGCCCCAAATTGCCAGCCAACTACTAACTGCAAAGTGGTTAGAGCTTAAAAATGAATATTGCAGCACAGTGACACTGCAGAATGCCTGACAACATTCTGCGAATTATTATGAACTGCATGAAGGTTTAATTGGTAATACTGTCCAGTGACTATCTAATAAAATACAATGTATGTGTACATGTAAGCTGGTATTCATACACTTACCAATAAGTGGCTCAGGGTAGGTGGCAAAGTCTTTAGCTCCTATTGGACCATTGAGGCTGGGCTGCTGTACAGCGTGCATTGGCTTGTCATACGGCTTACGTGAGTGACCTGGACCAAATGTTCCTCCACGTATGGGACCCACACCTCCTCCTCTTCCACCTGCACCTCTTCCTCCCCTGGTAAATCCTGTATTCATGGGGTTCATGATACTCTTCTCTTGTGCCTTTTGCTGGGCCCTCTCAGCTCCTTGTTTCTCTAGAGCCTAATGATGGGAAAACAGTGTAACTTTAAACACCAAGGGTGTGCAACCTACCAAATTCTCAGCACAAGCCTGTGTAAGATCTGGACTGAGAGAACTTTCAGCATTTACCTTTCGGTGTTTTTGACCAATAAGATGAGAATTCCAAGCAGAGTCACTATTACATGTCACTAAGCACACCTGTTGAAACAGTAGAGGAAACACATCATTGTGTAAACAAACATGAAACCAGTGATGGATCTTGCCGGGAGGAGGGACACATGCACCCCCTTACGCCTAACAAACACATGTACATGTATAAGGTCCCAAAGGCTGAAGACGTTACGCCTCCATACCTCAGAGGGAAGAACAAAAAGAAAGCATAAGGGTAAAGCCCTGCTTCCTCCTTCAAAAAGAAAAAAAAACGTTGCACAGGGTTATCCTAACAAATAACTTAAAAGAGTACGATGTAAATTGTACAGTTTGTAGACTTGTGTAGGATGTTCATGAGATTCATAAAGCTATCACCAAAATCTCCAATTACAACTTTAGTGCTATAATGCATATATCAAATTCTCCCAACTTGCACTGTAAGAAATGCATCAAGATAAAGGAGGATAATTCATGTATATTGACAAATAAATTATATACACATATTAAATAAATTATATACACATGTACCTGGCAGTTATATTGGAGAACAGGCTTCTTCTCCTCTTTCTCCTCCAGTCTCTTTGGAAGCTTGATATTAAACTCTTCAATGGCTCGTTTTATGTGCCTTGCACACATGCAGTGATGCTGAAAAGCCTGGTACAAATTAAGTAAATGAAGTACAGTATTGATTGCACAGTGGAGAATTAACCAAGTCAATTAAGGTATGGGTTTGACACACATGCAATTACTCAGCCAAATTACATGTACTTTGATGTTCTTGAAAATCATTTCACTAAATTGGTGATCTGCTTTAATATGGGGTCTTTGACTCTTTTACATTTCATTCTTTGCCTTCTGTTTTTGTATGCCATAAATTGTAATTAATTAATTAATCAATCGATCAATCAATCAATCAATCAATAAATAATGGTAATTCAACTAAGTGGAGTGCAATTTGGTCTGAAATCATACGAGTGATTTCAAAATCGAACGAGCACACAGTGCGAGTTCAATTTGAAATCACAAGTATGATTTCAGACCAAAATTGCATGACACGAAGTTCAATTGCCACTTTATTAGATCCATTTTGAAATCACACGATTTTATTGCCTTAAATTTTAGATTTTTTGTATATTGTCCCAGTAGCTGGTTTGTTAAAAAAAAGCGGAACCAGAAACGTCTTTACGTCTCATTTAGTATGCAAAACGATGTCATGTGACAAAAACTCATTCGAGCATGACAAAGAAACANCGTCACTGTCGGATACATGGTTACAATCAGTTTGACTAAAGGGTTCAGTATTGCTGTACCCAGATGTAATCAAGACAAGTTTGTTTCTGTAAGAATTTATTAGCATCATTAAAAAGTAACGAAACCGATAAAATAATGAAGAAATCAAATACTTCCGCCATAATAAAATGTTACTCTGACGTCTCTGAAACCGGCAAATGGAAGTCACGTCGGACTATTCCTCAATATATTGGGGCTTGTCTTAAGTTCTTTGTTAGACCGAAACATGATTAGTCTGACCTCGAATGAAACATGTTTCGTTATGAAAAGGTTTCACATCAGACAGTCTATTGCGCGAATCATGGTTGAAACATGATTATTCTGAGCATGATTGAAACAATCTCGCGAGGTAGTTTCAATCAAGATCAGACCAAACACGTTCAAAATGGCGGATGGATGCGGGGAGGAGGCGACTGCCCAAAAGAACCAAGATTGGGGCTATTACGAGGCCAAATGATGGGCCGATGAAGAAATACAACGGCAATTATCGGCGATGGCCAGAAACCAGAATATTTGGGAGAACATTGCCGCAAAACTAAACGACCGATGCGAGTACAAACAGCATAAATTATACAACCATGCATGAAACGTGTTTGAAACCGACATCTGATGTGAACAATACAATGACAAACATGTTTAGGCGAAACATGTTTACTCTAATCATGTTTTGGCTTTATTGTGAACACAGCTATAGTAAATCATATGTAGAACCACACCAGCACATAAAGATATGTAGGTTTTAGCTCCTTTTTGAGACAGTGTAAAATTTTTTGTTTATTAATAAGTTCCATCTTGCGAAACATGATAAAAGAATGTCCCCACAACCTACTAAATTGTACCTTAATCATTGCTTGTTTGATGTCAGCCGAGCGAGAAATAATCGTTTTTGCTAAGCTTAAGACAGACGAGAAGAAGCGACGTCAAGAGGTTTCGATTTCTACTATAGTGTAATTTTATGCCTAAATGCAACTCTCCCGGAATGTTCTACATCAGACTGCTTGCAAAATAAATTATTCACATTTCAAAGCAACAAGTTTGATAACAATCACGTGCTGATTCGATGTCAAAAACTGTAATTTTTCCTCAAGCTTAGCTAGCCGCCTTTTCGACTTTTCTAAAAGTAATTAAGTATTCAGGGTAGCACTGGTCGTCGTGGAATACAACAAACAGAGTTGGAACGTCTACTGAATCCACGACTGAGTCGTAAAGATCCTCAGTCCTGTCTGGATCAATTGGTGGTGGTGTCTTCAGCCCAGCTTTACCACATGCAAATTTACCAACAAGCACTTTTGCAAGATACATGCAGCACTCTCCTTTAGCATTTGGTGGCTTCGAGAACCCCAAAGAGTAAGAGGAATTGGTCGCAAAACAGACGCCATCTCCATAAGCCACACCTGGGGATCAGAGAGTTAATAAAAGTTGGTCTAACACTAAAGATTACCCAGCAAATGGAAGTGAATTCCTAGTTCCCTATATGAGACGTGCCTGCACGGTATCACAGTGGCGATTTCCAACAAAGCAAGTTCAACAAGGGTGGCCAAAGTTGAACATCACTACCATGATTCCTTGCATGCGCGTCACATGGATCGAACTTGTCATCCGAGGAAAGTGATAAATTTGTGACTAGTATTTAGTGCATTGGATTCCGGATCAAGCGGTCCTGACTGGGGTCAGTTCTTGGACAAGACACTTTAATTTCGCAGTGCCTCTCTTCAACCAAATGTATGAATGCATGGGTACCGGCGAATTTAATGGTGGAAATCAACCTGGGTTGGACTAGCATCCCATCCATGGGGAAGTAGGAATACCCAAAGTCACTTAAAGCTACAAACCGGAGATAAGAGTCAACCACCAGACAACTAGTTTAGTTTCACATGTGCTACGTATACGTACCATTTTTTCCACAAAAGCTTCGATTAAATCCATGAGCGTTTATGTCTTTCGTGTTATGATATCCTGTCCCGTGGAATAGTCTCCGTTCATTTTTATGGATTCCATTTTTCTCGTCCATGCTCTGTTTCTTCGTCACATAAGAACGGTACGTTGATGGATTCTGGACTCTCTGAATACTTGAGATGGACACGTCACGATCAGAGAGAGATTCCATGAATCTGTCTTGAACATCTTGGTACTCGGGTGAATCGACATCAAGGCGGACTAAGTGGACCCTCTCTTTCCTTCCTTTGCCGTCCAGAGGGTGCAAATCCCATTCTTGTGGAAGTTCTACTACTATTGTTCAAAGGAACAAAGGAAACCAAACATTGTCAACGCAAAACCTCTGTTCATTAAATTAGCTAGCGCACCAAGCTCAAGGTATTCTGAAATTGCCTTTAGGCGACCTCCTTCTGTAAAATGGTCGCCACTAAGACAAATTTGGTCGCCAGAAAAGCCTTTCCAAAGAAGGACAATTCGCGTCACTTAACATGAATATAATACTGCTGATCACGACGACCCTACATTGAAATCGTTTGAAGAACGTTCCGACGCTTTTAGTTTTCGTTTGCAACTGTTTTTGGTGTTGTTGAACGGTCTTACTGTTCAGGATAGTAAATAAAAGAAGAAAAAAACAGGTAAGGAAGACAAACACGCACAAATTGTAGTTGAGTCCGTTTGGCTTAGTTATTATACCACAAAAACCCTTGTTTTCGAGAAGTCAGCCTTTTGTACTGCACTAGTCGCCAAATTGGCGACGTGACCTGTTCGTAAAATTTAGTCGCCAAATGTTTTTTTCACTCGCCATGACGACCGCAAAGGTAGAGCGCTGAGTTTTTCAAAGCCATGTATGTAGCACTTTGTTTAAGTTGTCAATTCTTTGGTAATTATAGTGACGTGAACGCAAGGAAGTGACTTACCTTCTTTACGAAAGACACACTTTATTGCCCCGGTTTTCAAGAACTTGACTTCTTCAGAATCAAATTTTATCTCTGCCTGCATATTCTTATGTGTGAAGGAAACAGAAGAACTTTTAGACTGAAATGCTGTTTCAATGTCATAATTGGCCATCTTGTCAAATGGTTCTTGTTTTCCTTTCACGCTATAGTAGCACCACTGAACTTTTCCAGCCGTCATATCTGCACAGTCCATTTTATGTTCTTCCTTAATTTGATCGTTAAGAACTTTCGATACTTTAGGGTGCATTGCAAGCACATCACAAGGATAGCCTTTCAATGAAATTACTCCCTCCTTGGAAAAATCTAGGCCCACGTCTTGCTCGCGTGCCTTTTGCCTCAGGTCCCTTCTACAGCGCTTTGGTAGACGAGAAATCACGTCTTCTCTGATTTCAATGGAGCTACATTCTTTACTTACGCTATTTCTCAGTGCTGCTATGGCTTCGTCAAGAACTTCTTGATGTCCATACACAGTCACTCTATGCTGAAAGCACGTGAGCGGTAGTTGAACACCAACTGGCTCGTCTTCGACGTCGTCCTCTTCGGCAAAACCAGAGGCTTGATTAAGTTCTCCTTTAATCTGTTTCAGTTTGCTTTCGAAAGCAGCAACCACTGTATCCTCTAAAACAACAACTCGTAACTCACAAGCCATGCCAGAGGAATTCACTGCCTCCGAAAATGCACGAATTGTCCCCAATACCACTTCAGCTGAATCGTAAGGACGTAATCCCAGCCCACCACTACCAATAGCTGGAACAGAAACGGATTGCAAACCCATGGAGTGAACTTCTTTAAGGGCTGCATGAACACATTTCTGGAGATGTTTCTTGTTTCCAGATCTTATAACCATGTGAATGATGTATTTGGCCGTCAGATCCCCTGCAGACGTTGTCACAACAGACCCAGGCTGCTGAGGAAACTTTGCTGTCAACTCGTCTTGAACTGCACTACCACTTGCACAAGCAATTGAGGCACTGAGGTTTCCATTTTGCATTTTGAGATCCTCGTGAACAACACTAACGATGCCATCTGAACATTCTTTGGTGATGTCTCCTTTTACGACCTCCACTTTAAGATCACCGATTCGAACTTTCGTACAGGTTGGTTCAGGCAAAATTGACGTTACCTGCCTTCTACGATTTGCCTGTCCAGTTCGTGGCCTAGTAGGGACAAGCAATCTACGTTGTCGTTCTCTCTTTAAAGGTCCAAATTTATCTTGAAAAGTAGAGATTCCCTCTTGATCTTCACTATGTACAATGAATCTGAACTCTTCTAGGGATGAATCGGGACGCTGTTTGCTATAGCTTAGGGCTTCCTCTACCATCAAATGCACTGCGACATCATGAGGAAAGTTGAGATTACCCGTACCAATGAGGGGTAGAGCAATAGAACATGACCCTAGTTGGGATGCTTTGTCAAAACATTTCCATAGTAACGTCTGAAGAATCTGTCCAGAAAGAGAAAAAATAGTTATTACAAATATGACATATATTTTAAACCCATGCAGCTGCTTTATTAATACTCAGTTGAAATAAAACTGGCCGTCATGGATAAAGTCAGCGTAAGGACCAAGTGGCCCATTAGGCTGGTGCATATCCCGGGTTCTGTAGCATGAAGTGACTAGGAGTATTTCCACTACTCCTGGATGGAATGCTAGTCCATCGCAGGGTTACCTCCAGCACTAAATTCGCCGGTACCCATTTATACCCCTGTGTAGAGAGGTACTGTGAGAGTTAAGTGTCTCGCCGAAGAACACAACACAAAATTAATGTCCCTAGTTAGGGCTCTACACCGGACCGCTCGATCCGGGAGCGAGCGCACTACCCACGAGGCCACGTCATGGGCATTGGTCATGCTCATGGGTTACTGAAACTTAATTAACTCAGTATAGTAACAAGAGGTTGACATAATAACCCTTTGCAACTGACTCAATAAAATGGTGCTTGCCGATACTGAATGAGGAATTAGAACAGATCACCATTAAATTCAAACATGCTACTTATCTTGTTCAATATCTCATCATGCACTAAAAAAACAAACAAACGTGGCATGTTTCTTACAACGTTAAGGATATCCCACATATCTCACCTGTTTAGCGTCTCCTTTTCCATCATTCCACGGGCAGCACACACAAAACACCACATTTTTACAAGGCAATTTCCCGGAGACAACTTCTGTATGGACCACTTCTCCCTGGTTCAAGTGATTCTTTGCAGCGTTTTTAAGTGCGTCTTGTAACGCTGGACCAGCTGCCTGGCTCATGGCTCGTGCTATCGCACCGATGGCCAGATTCAAGTTTGACCCCACTGAACACACCAAACTGTCAGCCTGTTCAAAATATTAAAACAAGCCAAATATCAAAAGGAAAAAACAGTTTAATTGACTTGCGCTGAAGAAAGCCAGGAAGTACTACCGTTTGTCAATACCCTGGAAACGTTCTTGGTACACTCTGATTGTACCAAATTAAAGGAGTACCTTGGTATTCAAATGGCATTAATGACCACGCCAATTTTAAATACAGAATGATGGTCTCCAGGGGCTTTAAAAATGTAGGCACTGAAAAGATAGCTGTAGGCCTGAAGCCTATCTCTTAATTTAATTTGCACTTTTTGCATACGTTTTAATTTTTGTTTGTCGTGACTTCACTTCCAGACGTTTTTTGCAATGGGAACTTTTCCACCTCAAAACTTCAGTGTATGTGTGTTCCCCCCGTTTTTCTAGAGTTTGTTTCAAAGAAAGCTTTATTATTAAAACGTACTAGATACCTCTTCTTCCTGTATATTGCCAAGCTTCCAGATGATCTTCTTACCCTCTGGGGTGGTCATGGTGCAATCATCTTCATCGTCCTCCTCGTCGCTGCTAAGGCTGGCTACGTCATCGCTGTCATCTTCATGATCCAGTCCTTCGCCAGTGGTCTCCTCTATTTCAATAACACACCTGTGTTCCTTCTCCACAGCTCCAATCAATTTACCTTCGTCTTTTGCCAGAAAACTCCGCATTCCTGGCAAAGTAACGTTTACAGTTTTTTCTTTTATGTCGTCTTGTAAGGCATTCAACTTCTCTGAGACCTTCTTCACTCCTTCATCTGCCCCAGTGAAGAGTAAATCTCCATTTTCATCATGTGCGATCTTAACTTCATAGGTGGAAAGGCTCTCTTCGAGATTCTTAATTTCCTCAGTGTAAAACTCGCGAAAAAATCTTTGACTGATTGGCGAGTCCAATCTGAATTCTCCTTCCTTGGCTTTCTTCTCGTTTAGAAATCTCCTCATTTCCTTCGCAGCTTCGTCAACATCTTTTTTAAGTCCAATAACATGGAATTCCATCAACCTTCTTTGACAGCGTATCTTCAAACGCTTCTCAAAATCACGACAAAGTTGTTTCCACTCATCTGATTGCAATAAGTCATTATCCCTGTCTTTCACAGGAAGTTGGACAGTGACCAGTACCGTTTCAGCTAGTTTGCGGCCTTTTTCGGTGTCAGAAGGAGTTCTTCCCAAGAAGAGAATTCTCTTGTTTTTCTCATCAACATTGAAGCCACATCTCACATTGGATTCTTTGAGCTCAGCATTCAACTTACGTTTTCCAACCTTAGTTTTCAAGATTTCTATGAGTTCCACCGGCGGCCCTGACAGCGAATTCTTCTCTATCTCTTGAACACGTTCGGCAAGGTAGGTCACAACAGAAGACATCTGGCCTTGAGGTGTCTTCAGAAAAATGCTTCTTTTGCTTAAGTCTATCGTAGCTTGCACATCTTGATGAACGTCGCTCTTTAAAATTTCCTGGATGTCTACAATCTGCAGAAGTCGAAGTATTTCGTTCGGTCTATTGGTTAATGTTTTTTGTTCAAGAGTTTTCTCTAGCTCAGTCTGTTTGATTTCTTTCAGTCGATTTAACAGTTTCTCTTCAAACGCTGGCAAATCCTTTTTGAGGCAGACTAATCTCAGCTCCTTTAGATCTTCAATTTTCTTCACCTCTGCAGAAAAATTGGGAAACATTATTTCAAAACAGGGTAGCTGATTAATGACCTCTTCCCAGATTTCCTTTTCGACTGGAATATCTTTCATGGTGAAGCGATCCAGAACGCCAGTTATGATTTCGCGACAGCGATTCTCCCAAACATCTTCGTCAAATTCGTCATTTGGTTTTTGATTGTACTTCACGAGTACATATCCATCTTTGTTGGTCCAATTAATTTGAGCACGTTTGCCAAAGAGTCGGTCTTTCAATTCCAGCCCTTGATTGCACTTGCCCATGACAAACTCGACGATATCAACGTCTACAACCATGCGGAAGTAGGGTTGTTCAAATACTGGAATCGCAGTGGTATGATGCGGCAATTTGGAGTTAACGTCTTCTACGGTTCCCATGAAAGGGTAATATCTCTCCACATGCAATGGCGTCTCATTTAGGAAATGATCTTTCTCAACAACTTTCTTCACGCCTTAAAGGAAAACGAAAAACATTCAATTTAAAGACGTGTGTGTGAAAAGTAAGCAATACAAAGATATAACACCTTTTTGCAATGGGTTGCGCGATTTGTCAATCCTCAAAACTGTTGTTACCAAGAAAATGTTTAGATTTGTACCTACAAACATCCTCACATCGAAAATTTCAACCCCTCCCCCCAACAAAAATCCTTCTCACCCCTTCCCAATCGTTACTTTTAAGTCTGAGTACTCCCTCCGATCAAACGTGCAAACTGAGGATTGCCTTGGAACAAAGTGCTACTAGAAGCTGTGAATAAATTTTAACGGTTTACCGGTGTACTCTACAGCTCACCGTCCAACTGCAGTCAATATCGTGAATTATTATACGGCTGTGTCTCACAAGGACTGGGGACGACCGAATTCACGAATTTTATTGGCTGAAATCGATATTGAGAGCGGTCGATTTTCCCATCTAGATCGGTTACATTTTGCGGTGAAAAAGTTCCAAACTGAACTACAAAAATATTGACTATTTTCTTCTAACGATATTTATACATGGAAGCGCCAAAAAGCCTGATGGGAAAAAAAATAAATAAATAAATAAAGAGGACGAGCAAACTTTGGCAGAATTATTTCAAGTTCAGCTCATCGCCGTTCGCAAGCAAATTGTCAGCTAGTACAAACCAGTTACATTAAACGAATTAATTTTTCCCGTTTGCCATATAATAAACATCTTATTAACCGAGCTTAGTAGGTCTGTATGGGAGAATCTTGACCTCGGTCGTGTGAACAGTTGTCACTGCGTTGGGTCTGCACTCACGACCTCTGTCAAGATTCTCCCATACAGACCTCCTGGTTGGTTAATAAGAGCGAATTAATGTTTGAGGGTTATAGCAATTAAAATAAAACAGTAACACTTCATCTTTACATTGACCTTCCGGCCCTATACGGTGATGTTTTGGCACGTGGCTTGGTTCACCCAAGCTCACGTGACAAATAGATTCCCGCCACATGAACTTGAGAAAGACCCTGTGACAGAGTCGAAAGCTTGTGATCGCTAAAACATAGACTCTGATTCGGTATCTCGTTTCTAATGTCTATACATACTTTTTCAACCACATTATTATATAAATCGTCCTCGATAAGCTTATTCACAGGCCTACTCCCGGATTGTCTCAATTTTGGCAAAGAAGAAAGTAAATGTTGTCACTATGATATCCATAAAATCACGTTAAAAAAAAGCATTATGTTGTCCTTCCGGTTATAAGCACTAAGAACATACACCTGTTACTATTAAAATTCTCAAGTCACGTACTTTTATCAGTTTTGAAGTACACAATGGCTCTTTTTTCATTCACTCTCCGAGCTTTCACTTCTTCCTCGTTGGTGATAAATTTCTCCACCACACCAAATTTGTCAAAGTAGTTTTCAAACTCTTCTTGTGGGGTATTCTCAGGGATTCCGCGAACAAAAATGCTCTTGCAGACTGGTGCTCTTTCAATCAGTACGTTTACTTTCTCAAGTTGGTTTTTTGGCTTTGCAGCCTCCTCGCATATCATGGCAAAATCTGAAGGGGAAAAAAGTAAGCAACAGATCACGTTCAGCGCCATTTCAAGTTGCATTGTGTGGCATTTTGTCATTAGCGGGTAAGCAGCGGATCGGCGAAAGGAAACGCACGTGGTGCTTCGCTTCATCAGGATTTTCTTTTATTTCAAAACGGCAGAGTTACAAAAGCAGGTTACCCCATCAGACTGAAAACCTCATGGGCTTGTCGAGTTAGAAGGTAATATGCTTAATGAAAATGAATGAGTATAATTAATTTTGCAGAAATTAAATGACATAATAAAAAGGAAAGAATTACTGCGACTAAAAACGTCATACTGATAAAAGGAGGAAAACAGAGCTAAACCTTGACGGGAAGTCACACATGTGACACAAGTCAGAGGTTGCTCCCAGTAGAGAAAGTACTATCAAATGAATGTCATATCAAAACGCAAAAGACATTACAAAAAAAAAAGACTCAATGGTCTACTGAAGACACAAAAGGGTACGTTGTTGTAATAAGTTGCACCTGCGTGTGAGTTTAATCTCCAATTGTCACTTGTATTTACTTGTTATACACAATCACCTTAATGCAGCACACGATGCAACGTTTGGGTGGAATATCGTCCAGCATACAGTATACAACGTACGGCTTTCCTGTAATCTGTTTGACTGTAGATCATCGTCTCTTGCATAAATTTATAAATGTTCAAGAATTGGGACTCCGAAAGGAATTCAGTTTAATTGTTAACTTGTTTTACTTTGGTGCTCTAATGTGCAATTCTTCCTCCAAGTTTCATAATTGGTTACCTGAGTTTGTGATCTTGTCTGTGTCCAACGTTACAATGGCCCTTCCAGATTTAAACATCAACACGCGCTTGACATCACAGCCACTAATCCTCGCAATGAAATTCAGCACACAATCTTTAGTTGTTTTGCTTCTTAAACCCAAAACATACAACTTGTTCCGCTCGTACAAGACGTTCTTCAGGATATATCCATGGTCTGATCTGTTGTTAGTTGCTGTGTTGAAACCAAAGTTCATTAGTTCTTGATTATTGACTTAACACAGTCTGGATTCGCGCGCGCTGGTTGGTTTGGAAAGCATGTTTTGTCAAAATCTATGTTACAGGTTGGATTCTAGATTAGCATTGCTCGACTTAAAAGCTGTTTTTCAGAACATTTTAAAGGCAAGAAAAACGTGTCGCGTTCTCCTATCTCGGTTCATATTCATCATCAAAAAATTCAACCAGAGTCTGAGGACATGGGAGTCAGGGCCATGGGTATTCCTTCGTCACGTTCGCATAAAACACTCTGGTAAATGTAGAAAAGACCTGCCAGCGGCCCACGTTTTCTAAGTTTTATAACTCCACTCGCCTACACGAATGTTATACTTCCACATGCAGCCTGTGTAAAGTTTTCTTGCGTTTATTAAGCCAATCAAATTCGACGTGTTTTTGCAAAACTACAAAACTACAATGAAAACTCACCCCCTCTCCCTCGGCGCCATCCAGGTCTGTTATCAGATCCCCGTCCTCTTTGACCTCTACCAGTCCTTCCGGGACCCTCCACGTACGGTGATTTCTCAGGACCCCTGCCTTGCGAAAAAGGTGGATTCGGGGATGGACCTCTACCTTGACCTCTTCCTCGTGACCTTCCGGGTCTTGAACTTCTTCCTCCTCGCCAACTGCCATCTTTGCGAGAGTCTGAAATAATGACGTATGGTAACACCAATGAGAAAAGTTTTTATTTTTGTTTGCAGTACATCCCATCTTGAAACCAAGG